TCGCGGGAACACCCCGGCTGCGGCCAGGGACAATGGTCCCCGGGACCTGGGATTCCAGGATGGAGAGAATGGATTCAACGCCCAGACCTCGGCCTTCACGGCAATGCGCCTCCTTCAGGCAGTACGGGTGGCAGCAAACTTGGTAGGGGGGGCAACCAGGTGACCACCCGGCGGGCGATGCGGGCCCGACAAAGGCTCCCTTAGAAGTCCTGTGTGACAGGCGCCAGCTGGAAGATGCTTACGTGGCCACGCATGGGGCCCCGAAGCCGAGGTTGGAATTCCAGGGTAGTGATGGCTACCTTAAGAAGCAATGGCGCATGATTGCCAAGGGCGAATTGGGCTACATCCCGGCAAAACACATCGTGAGCGCGCTCCCGGAAGAAGGGGAACGCCCTTCATCCACCCACAAGAAGATCACGGTGGACGGCTGGGACAGGGAGGATGAAGAAGAGGTGAGGAGCCACCCTACATCTCGGCGCCAGCTGGAACGATTGCACCTAACCTTCAGATGTGCACGGCAGCACTGCCGCAATTTGGCAACCTGAGGGTCACCAAGGAGGAGTTGGATGACTGGTATGCCTGGTTCTATGGGGAGGACATAGCCGGCAGGAAACCTCCCCCGAGCGACACCACCTTGCTGTTTGCAGAGCGCAATGCATGGCGCAAGATTCACGAAATGGTGCACGGGCACCACTCTCTCCGAAGCCCTCAAGAACATCAGGGGCGACTTCCTCTTCTGGCAACGGGAGGTCTATGAGCACCTCAACAGGGCGCCGATGAAGGGGAAGAGCAAGAGCAAGGCACCCAAGGTGTGGCAGACTCAGTGGGAGAAGCCCAAGAAGGGGGGAAAAGGATCTTGGCTACCCATTCCAAGCCGAAGGGCAAGGGCGGCAAAGGGAAGTCCCCCAACACCTCCTCGACCCCATGGCCAGACCACTGGGCTTTCAAGAAGTCCAAAGGAGTGGCGTACTGCAGGGATCATCACCTTCACAACAAATGCCCTGGATCATGCGGCCGATCCCACAACTGCCCGGTCAGGAAGGATGGGTGGGTGTGTGATGCCCCCCCAGCGAAGCATGTGCCACAGGCATGCCCACACCTCCCCAAGTGACAGGAGGCCACACAGGGTGCCATGGGCCCCGTGGCTGCCTGGTCTCCGAAGGGATCACAGGCCACCAGTGCGAGAGCGCACACAGCGGGGGAGAGCCAATCCCACCAGAGCCACAGCGGAAGGCAGACAGAGTTGGGGAGGCCAGGACGGCCGCAGGTGGGCGGGGACTTCTCCAGGGTGCCACCGGCCCCGGAAGCCCCTCCACCGAAGAAAGGGAGTGGATCCAGCCAGGGCACTCCAAAGGGCGGAAGCACCCTTTTCCCCCGCACCCACCGAGGCAGTGGGAAGAACCCCCAGAGAGACCCAGAGGTGGGGATCCGCCCGGCAAGGGGCGTTCCAAGGGCGGACAGAACCGTCAGGGCAAGCCCAGGGCCAGACGACCAGTGGGTCGGACAAAGGACACACGGAAACCGATGGGGACAAGCCCCACCTTCCCCTGGATGCAAGACACCCCGGAAAGACTGAGGCCCAGACTAAGGTGGACGCCACGTCCGGTGCCGGAGTCGTCGAAGCCGACCCTGATCCTGCTGTACGCTGGGAAGGACGATGCGGGGGCCCTGGATGCCTACCTCCATGCCTACAACCCGGCCTTCTCGGAGTACATTTGGGCAGTGGACATTAGGCGAAAGGGTGGCGATCTTGGACAGGACATGCTGGGAGACGAGCCATACTCTACAATGTGCTCCATGGCCATGGCGGGTAAGGTCGCCTTTGTGGGGGGCGGCCCCAACTGCAGAACGTGGAGCATTCTCAGATGGTTCCCCAAACCGGGAGGCCCGCCGCCGAGGGGCAGGGCGGAGCAGACCCTGTGGGGCTTGCAGGACCTGGAGCCCCGGGTAAGGGAGGACACGGACAACGACAGCGTGCTCATGCTCCGACAGATGTACCTGACCTCGCTGGCCTACCAAGGACTAGGTCAACGAACGGTCCCGCAGGTGGGCTCCTCCTTCCTGGAGCACCCGATGGACCCAATGGAGTGCAGCAAGAGCCCGAGCGCAGCGAGGTGCTCATCGATCTGGGTCACACGGGCCTACATTCAATGGGCGAAAGCACTCCACCACTCCCTCATCAAGTTTGACGAGTGCCGCCTGGGCCAGGTGGTAGTGAAGTCCACGACATTGTCAACGGACCTTCCTCTTCACCGTTGGCATAATCTGCGATGCAACCACGGAGCTCACCCCAGGGCGTAAAAGCTCAACTCCAGTGACCTCAGCCGGTACCCAGAGCAGATGATGCAGGGTCTCGCAGCGGCCATCCTCTGCAGAGCGGGACCCGTCCTGGAGGCGCTGAGGCCGGGGGGCACGGTTCCCCAAGTGAACCCAACCACCTTGCGAGGCGGCAGAGGGAACCATCTCCCAGCACGCCGGGGGACAACAAGCGCCAGTTTTTGAGGCTGAAGGCCGGCCAACGCTTGGGACTAACCTTGGGCTCACGTCCGGTCTCGGCCTCAGACAATCCTGAGGTCCGGACACCAACACAGCCGGCTGGCAGGAAGGTCGAACTACGGGGTGAAACTCTTCCCCTTCAGCCATGGGCACGCCATTGCATGGAGATCTCGGATCGGCCCACGCCGATCACGCACGACCCAAATCTCTCCGACAAGGTTATGTACCTCCAGATGGCCTTCAAACAGCGCCCCCTCAGGGACGGGGGTGGGAAGCCCTCACTTGGACGGCTGGCCCCGTGGACTCGGCCACTGTCCAAAGCAGCAGCGATGGGGGCCAAGATCTGTGCTCACGTCGCCATGGGGGGACAAACTCCAGGAGTCGCTCTCGTTGGGGGACGGGTCACACCCCTTCCCGGAGGACCTGCTGGAAGATATCAGGGAGATCCTGGCGCCAGGGGCAGGCCGACCAGCGGAAGGCCAACCCTTCTTCCTGAACATCTTGCACAGCCTGGCGCTGAACATTCAAGACCCCGACCACCAGTTTCCTCGGGATCTGGAACAAGGGGTCCCACTGCGGGTCACGGACCCACCCCTAGCCTCGCCGGGCATCTGGCCACTCAAGAAGGAGCTAAAAGGGGAGGAGACGGAGTTCCAGGAACTCCCTCATCCCACGGGCCGGGGTAACTACCCCTCAGCGGATCACTTCAGTGAGCTCATCCGTAGCACATTCCTGGAGGAGGTCCCCATGGGCATGGTAGATGGCCCTCTCACCAAGGTAGAGGCGGCAGCGCGCTGTGGCTGCAATATGGAGGATCTTTGCCCAGGCCCCCTAGCGGGCATCGACGAAGGGGCTCGGTGGGCGGGGCCAATGACACCATCAGGAACCAGACGGTGGAAAGGACGACGGCTCCGACGGTGCTGGATGGGGTACAAGCTCTTCATTGGCTACATGCGGCAGCTGAGGAGGGACCTCCCTCTCAGACTGGGGGGAAGAATGGTGGGTGAACAAGGTAGGCACATACGGCATGGCCAGTGCCCAATCCTACTGGGGACGCCTGGCAGCCCTTCTACTCAGGGTCCTCTACGCACTTTTCCCTCAAGTGGATTGGAACTTCGTCTTTGTGGATGACTTCCTGTGGCTGCTTCGCAGTGAGGGGGCAGTAAACTTGGCGGTGGCGCTGTTGGCAACACTCCTGGCCTTGGGCACCCCGCTTAGCTGGAAGAAGACACATTTGGCGGAGGTCAACACGTGGCTGGGCTTCGTGGTCCACCCGAACATCCCGCAGGTTCTCATGGCCGCCAACAAACACATCCTGGTGATGGAGGTCTTGCAGATCATGGTGGAAGGGCAGGCGATGCACTCAAAGGACATCGAGAAGGCCTGGGCCGCATCCAATGGGCAACTGCTGCATGTCCGCTGGCGAAGTCGATGCTTCAGCCACTGTGGGCCTGGAAAATGGCCACCACCACGGTGGGGAAACCCCCCAAGGTGGTCAGGATGCTGGCGTTCATGCTGCGGTTCCTCTTCAACACGCCCTTCGTCAGTACTCCCCTTACTTGCCGAAGTCCTCTTGGTGGGGTTGCAGCGATGCTAGCGCCTCGGATGAAGGACTGGCATTTGTGGGAGGCTGGTGCGCCAACAAAATGGAGCCGGAAAAGAAGGAGGTGTACTGGTTCCACGAGCAGATCCACGTGGAGGAGTACCCGTGGGCATTCAAGAATGGGGATCCTAAGCGGAGGATTGCGGCTCTGCAAAAGCTGGGCACGCTCTTCCTCTGTAACATGATCCTCACGCACCAAGGCCCTCTGTCCTCCCCGTCCGACTCCCGGTGGGCAGTGACAATCAGAAAAATGTCATGGCGATGCTCAACCTTGGATCCAAGAAGCCCTACACCGCGGCTATCCTGATGGAGCTGGTCTTCCTGCTCCACACCCATGGCTGCTCGCTGGCAGCCAACCACGTGCTCCGGGAATTCAACCAGTGGGCCGATGAGCTGACGCGCCCAGATTTCTCTGGGTTCGGACCCTTTGCACAGAGTCCCTAAACAGGAACTCTGCGAGGAGTTCATTTTTCTCCCGCGTCTCCTGAATGGAGATGCATTTGATCTTAGTGTGGGCCCACCCATATGCTCCCGTGACCGGAGCCGGTGGGTGACTCACTTCCCCTGGTGGCAGACCCCCCTGTGGCCTGGGTGCCCCGGGCCCCGGCTCAGGGGCGGGCGCTATCAGTCTGCACACCCGTTCTTCAGTTTTTGAGAGTTTGTGGTGGGTGGCCCATGGGGCCCACCCAGCCGTAGACATCTGACAGGGGAAGATGAGTCCCTGGCACCAACACATTGCTTGGATAAGAGTTATCGCTTGCTTGTGTGGTGCCGTTTGGTTAGCTTACATACACTTCTTAAACTAAACTTCTCGTTTGTGGTTATGATTCGGCCCGAGAACGGGAGGAATGCCCCCAACGGTAGATGTTGGAATCCCAGGGCTCCATTTCCACTTCACCAGGAAGAGCTGGACGCGGACCTGCGCCCCGTCACGCTGGCCATGCGCCTCTGCGGATGTTTGGGTCGCAAACAAGCGGTACCACGAGCGGAAATCCGTGCATGAAACTTGACGATGTCCAGTACTGGAAGTATTATAACGTTGTAACACAAATGCAGATAGGTGTCCTTTGTAGCCATCGATTTGTCCAAAATGACACCTAGAAACTAGGACGCAGATCCCACTCACAAGTACCAAGCAAGTGTGTATGGTATGTATGTGTGTGTGTGTGTCTTGTGAGGGTTCTCCCAAAATGGGTGGTTGTCCTTTGGTCCCTTTGCGGAACCACCCAAAATGGGTACCCTGAAAACACGACTCACCCTTATATTAATATGCAATCAAATTGCGTTTGCCGGGGGAATTGGCTCGGGATTTCTTTGTCATGGCCATGGCTCTCCTTTTCCCCCAATATCAGGTGTTTTAATGTTGACTTCGGATTAATCCAAAGGCCTAATCAGGGGTTGTTCCATTTTTTAGCAAGCAAGTGAACTATTTTACGGGCTTCCTCTGACTGGCAAGGTCCTCCAGATTAATCTGAGGTAACAGTAGTCAACAGTTGAAAGGTGGAGTTGACCACGTAAATTTGTTCAAAAGATATGTAGCCCCCCCTCCCCCTGGATTTTGTGAGCACCCAGATACTTTCAAAACGGCACAACCAGGGTTTTTTGTCGATCCTTGCTGGGGTAGCTTAGGCAATCGCAAGAGGAGCCGGGCCTCATTACGGGTTTCAGAAGCCGTATTGGCCAACCTTTCTTTTCGAACTGCCTACTTTCCTCTTTCTTTTGACACACCCCCGTGTAACATCGTCACAACACCCTTTTACTTGGACGTGCAAATGACTGGTTAAAACCACCTTTGTTCAAACAGTCTCTTTTTCTTTCCCTTCAACCGGGAGGGTCTCCTCCAAAATGTTGCTTTGCGTTTTAGGGAAAACTAAGTCTGAATCGGAATCTGACCATGCTTAATCTTCAGTGTACCCCATTTTTGGGTGCGCCTGAGCTGTTTTTTCCCCTGCATTCCTTTTTTGGCCATTCTGTGTGCCCCTTTTTTTGGTGCGCCTGAGGTGTTTTGTCCCCCCTCCCCCCCAAATTCCGGAGCTGAAAGAAGCCGAATTCTCAGCGAGCGAGCGAGGTACAAAGACTACATGCAGCAATGGCTGCAAGCCACTGAGCCCAGGGACCTCAACGCGCGGCTCTATCTGATGGACCCTGCCAGCCGCAAGTGGAAGTTCGGGGGGGGCCTTTCTCTGGGATTTCTTTAAAATACGCCTTTGAACACATTTTTCGGGTGGGGTTCCTTGTCTGAGAGTGGGGTTCATTTTATGAAACACCTTTTTTTCGGGTGGGGCTCCTTTTCTGACTGCCGTTTCCTGGTGGGGTGTCCTTTTCTGAAAACCGTTTTTGGGTGGGGGACTTTTTGTGGAAGTCTTTTTGGGCGGGTGTCACGGTTTCTTTTTCTAAAAGCCTTTTGGGGGGGGGTTCCTTTCCTCAAAGCCTTCTTTGGTTGGGTGTCTTTTCCTGAAAAGCTCTTTTCTTTGGGGTGGGGCTCTTTTTCTGAAAGGCTTTTTTGTGTCCTTTTCTGAAAGCGTTGTTTGGGTGGGTTTCCTTTTCTGAAAGCCTTTGTTTGATTTGGTTTATTGGTGTGGGGTGATTTGTTGTTTTTGTTTTTCCCATTGAACTCTTGCTTTGGAAAGGGATTCATTTTTTGGGTGGGTTTTCGGTTCAGCAACTTGTTGGTGGCGTGTTTCCTTTGTTTGGGTGTACCCGTTGGGTTGTGGGTTGGGTGTCCGGCCAAGTTAGTAGCTGATCTAGGTTGCAAAGTGGTTAGACTTCTAGGAGCAAACCACTGATGAGCCCCAAGATGAGTTCACCCTGGTTGGTGACGCTGTACCGCGGACATCCAAGTACCCCCGCTTCTTGGGTGCGTCTCAAAATTTGGCAACCTCGCGTTTTGACGTTCAAGGGAGCCATGAGGGCACTCAATTTTTGGGTGCCCCCACAAATCGAGACGCCCGGCCCTCACGCAGGAGGGCATCGTCATTGAGGCCCAGCTGGGTCGCAAGGAGCGCTTTTTTTTTTCTTCTTTTTTTTCCGCGCGGATTTCGCGCGGCGGTCGAGGATGGATCAAATCTCCGTTTGCTTAAGAAAAACACATGTTTTCCCCTGTTGGTTTCAAAGGGAATGTACGACTACTGGAAATATAATTTTTCCCAGGGGACTTGAGCACCCCTAGGTACTGTTGACACCTCCATACGGAGGACAACCCCCTAGGTATTGTTGACACCGGATTTCTTTGTCGAACCTGGGTGGATTGGCTGGGTACTACATATAGATTGTCACTCCTTTCAGTCGTGGAGGAGCTAGCTTGGTGCGTGTTTAGCCGAAATATTTGGTATGGCTAAGTAAGATGGGGCGCATATGCCGATGAGCAGCTACATATCTTGCTCCAAGGACTGCAAGAACTCATGAAGTTGCCTGTTGTGCAAAAGGAGGCCCGACTGTTCTTGATTACCCTTGAACCAGTTTCTCGCGGGCTTGTGGGAATGAAGGGCTGGTTCTCACAGCACCGTTACCCCCTGAGCCGCTGGAAGGCCGATTAAGTGGGCAATTCTCGCAGCCCTGCTCCTGAAAAAGATAGAAGGCTGAGCAAAATCGGCCTTTGCTGTTTGCTGGTTTGCTTGTGTTTATTGCGTGTTTTGTTTGTTTGTGTGTGTGTGTGTGTGTGTTTGTTTGTTAATGTGTGTGTACTGGCTTGCTTGCCTGCCTGCCTGTCTGCCTGTCTGCCTGCCTGCTTGCTTGCCTGCCTGCCTGCTTGCTTGCTTGCTTGCTTGCTTTGCACAGAATTCGCGTGTTTTGCCCTTGTATTTGTTGGCTTCTGTTCGCAGAAGTTTGTCAAGACTTGTCGATGTTTCACTATGTTGTTTGCTCGTGGCAGACTTTGCAAGTTGGCGTTGGAATGTTGATTCACTGGTCTTGAAGAATTGCGTCCGCTATCTTACTTTCCTGGACATTCTTACGGCGCGTGCTTCACCCCCTCCAATTTCCTGGGAACAGAGCTTCAGTCATAGTGTGTCTCTGATTGTGCTTGTTGTTTAATTCTGTCGATTTGGAGTACATAATATTTGTCTTTGGCGGCCAATTCTAGCATTTTCACTTGAGCGTGTGAGATGGTGTTATCGTTGCGTGCCGCTTCAAGAGCACTCCTCTCTTGAATCCGATTCATTGAGATATTAAATGATTTCCTTTTCCTCGTCAAGGCATGGAAGCGTATTCACCATGCGCTTCTGTGATACGAGTATTAGCACTGGTTTCGTAGGCACTGCGTGTTCAAGTTTGTCGGGGTGATATGCTCAACATCAGCAGCCCATACGTGCCGTCGGGGAGAAGGTCTTTGGAGGAGGCTGACCAATTCGGGGAAACCCTTGGGCAAGTTTCTCTTTCGTTTCCTCAAAAAACCTACCGGAAAAGGGAACCGAGGCTCAACAAAGGACACACCCAGTTGCAGTTTAGAGCAAGGATCCCTGAGATTGCATTTTGCCCTTAATTGAGGGATCCTTCCTTAAAAAATGCGGCCCTGGCGAAGTTTGTGCATAATTCACTTCGCGATCGCAAGGGATTCCGTGGGATCTTAGCAAGGCTAGGTCCCCCAGTAGTGCCCTTTTACCTTTTTTTGGGGGAGGGTTCACTAAAATAGACTGCAGAAAAAAGACGGTACCCTTGTTCTAACCTCTCTACTGGAGGACCTAGCGTAGGGGCCAGTGGATGGCTTCATTGATCTCTTCTTTCCGTACCGGACTGCGGGAGGAGCTGGAGAGGCTGGAGAGGGAGCAGACTTTGCCTCGGATCCTCGACAGCCTCACGGCCCAGGTGCGCAAAAGGGCGTAGGTGTTCAACGGCAAAAGGCGGGGAAGCCTGTGAAAGATCATCCGTTTGAGGGGACACCTGTGATTCTCCAGAACTCTACAAATTGCTTTTATGGGAGCGAATGGAGGCGACGGCAGCTGAAGTCGAGTTTTTTTCAGTACATGCATTTGAGGATTGGAGGTAGGGAACAGAGGAAAGAAGCCGTGACAAGCAACACCCAACCAAGCCGAACAGCTGAACGTGCGGTGTAGACAAGTTGCACCTTGCGACCACTTTACTTTGCGTGGACTGGACTACACTTAGATTGACGCCTGCGCCACCAGCATCACCCGTTTCCCTCGCACGCCTAATCTGGAAAAAGGACCACTCCTCAAATGGCGCCGAAGCGCCGAAGCGCACACCAAAACCATCTAAAGTCACCCTCGGATCGCGGCAAGCAAGTATCGCCGTAGCTAGGCTCATTGAGCCCCGCAAAATCGGCGCCAAGATGCAGCTGCTTACCGAAATTGCAAACCATTCTTCAGACTTCACATCGATGCCGAACCTAGCTTTGCCATACCTTTTGGGCTCGCCCCACTTCTTTACCCGAGCATCGAGTATAGCAGAGTTCGGCGGCCTCCCCCATCGGCGAATCGATTTTTTTGGGGTGACCCTCTGGGTTGTTCGAAGGCAATCCTTAATCCTTGGGTTACGAAATCGTTCTGGTCCCCTTGGTGGTTGTTATCGGGATATTCGGGATGATGGACAATCGGATTGGCCAAGACTCCGTTTTGAACAGCCCGGCTTTTAAAGGCCAGAGGCAGCCAGTGTATTGTCAGGTAGCCCTTAGTTGGCGCTTTGGGGATTTGAACCCCACTGCTCCACAAAAAACAAACCACCAAACCAAACCACGAAGTAGACGGAACCTGATCTTTCATAGGGGATTTGTCATTACATGACTCCCGCTAAGGAATTCACCGCCATCTCTGAGCACGATCCTTTTTTTTAGGGGACATGGTGCATTTCATAAGGGACCTTTTTTTGGTCGCTTCGCGGCAAACGACATTTTCTGGGCCAGGAGTTCGTGTACAACTCTCCTTGCCGGAAATTCAGCGGGCAGAAGTTCGCCATGTGAGCCGCTGGTGCTTTGCGGCTTGCTTCTGGAGATGAGACTGACCCACTCCTCCCACATACGTAAAGTTCCCTTGCAAACTCGACGAGTCACCAAAAGCCACTTCAATTGGTGCCGGTTGTTTTTCCCCTTGGAGAAGTCCGGGCTTAGGATTCAACCAGAGTTCTTGAGAAGCAAGCAAGGCAAAGGGTTCGACACTTCCGCGGCTTGGGAGAAACGTTCCACTCGCGGCGAAGGATTCCTTTCGCGCCCGTTTGGCGCGTTGCGCGGAAAGCCCAAAGTGGTCAGTCCGAAATCCGCCCAAGCCGCCCTCTTTGACCTTTCTGTTGACTGGCCGAGGGGGCCCAAGGTGTTGTCATGGCGGGGGAAAAGCATTGTGGACCTGTTGCTTCTGGGTCGCTTGGGCGGGTCAGATGCCCTGAAGGGGATGCTGCCGCTTTGCATGCGAGTTGGCAAGTTGTTGGCCAGCGGGGCGACTTGCAACACATGGGCCACCTGGTTGGTTCTCCAAATTAAGGATCCAGGTTCCCTTTGGGTTCCAGTCAAAACGATGAGACAGGATCCCTATTTTGAGAAGCACCCAGACTGTTGTGATAGTTAGATTGGTGCAGCATCCTGTGATCTGTCCGTGCTCGCCGTTTCTTGTCGACTTCTTGCCAGCTTCTCATAGTCCAGACCAAGTCTGGCTTGCCAATGGGTACTAGTACCGCTTCTTTTTTCCACCGTCTTGGGGTTGCTTTAAAGGGAAACTGCACCCACCACTTTTGGGGTTCCCTACCTCAAGACACGCCCCACACCCGTAAAGTACTCCGTGTTCGATCCTGCATGCCCGTTTGGCCATTGCCGGACTTTTCAAAGCGCTTGCTGCGGTCGCAAGTTTGGCGAAAGGGGGGCGCGGGTGGGGCAGAGCAGGCGCTTGATTAGGCGTCCTGAGTTGTCTTGTCATATTTGGTGTTTCTTCCTTTTTGCCGTGCAGTCGGACTCTTTGACAGGTGGTGTTCAACAGCGCTGGCTGGCTGGCTGCCTGCCTGCCTGCCTGCCTGGCTGATTGGCTCTCCTAAGTAAGTCCTACTTTGTCCCTGGTCGCAGAGTGTTGGAGTGGTTTGCATCCCAGCCTTTTCGGCAACCTTGGGCTAGCTGAGGATGCGCACCCAGTAAATTCACAGAGCATGATCGTCGGCTCATGCACTTTTGGGCAAGCACTGTCAAGCATGCTGGGACAAATGGATGGTTGTCTCAACCAGGCTGCAAGTGCCAGTGGATCAGAATGCACCATGGTCTGTCAGGGCTTCTTTTGGCGGCATTTGCCTCGGAAGGACTGGGGACTTCAACATGTTCCCAACCTTGCTGGTTTTCAGCAGGGAATGACCCTTATACATCATCCCTTGTGGTTTCCTTTAAGGGGAGCCCTTTCCGGTTCATTCAATCACCACCCGGACTCGAAAGGTCATTCCCTAATTACCTATGGCACCCGCAAGCAACAGATAGCTAGGTGTCCTGCAGACTGACGCAGGCACGGAGCGGGACACGGAGCGGGCGCTGGCCTGCGTGCGCTGCGTCGGCACCGCCGTGTGGGGATCCCAGCGGGAGGTTCCGGACATGGAGGCAGAAGAACCCAGCGGGGTCTCTACAGCTCCGTCCCTGAGTTGGTGGACTTTAGGCACTTTTTGGGTTGGGACCATTTGGGTGGCAAACAAACAGTTTGGACTTGTTGTGGCCGCACTTAGGAGCTGGACGTAGACAGTCGGAACCGAAAAAAAGATCCTGAGCTCTCGTTTTCTCGCTTTCTCGTGCATTCGAAAATACTTATTCGATCCGCCGCAGCTGCTCAAGATGACTTCCTCAGTGGCCTTCCGATGCGTGCAGGCGTGGCTTCTGGAGAAGCCCGCTGCGTGGGTGGGCGAGGACACTCCCAGCCTTGCGGCTGCTCTGATGGCCCAGCGGCCTCCCATGCGGCCTCGCGAGGATGCACTGCTCGAGGCCGAGCGTCTGCACCAGCGGCGTCGCATCGAGTACCTTGAGGAGGAGGTAGACAGTGAAACTATGCGCTGTGAGGAGCGGAAGCGCAACAACAGAATTCTCCGCTGGCAGCTGGACCGCCGCATCGAGATCATCGAGGAAGAGCGTGAGCGAGCGGTGCGGGCGGAGGCGCGCGTAGATGAGCTTGAGGAGGATGTCGCCAGTGAAATTATATGCCGTGAGGAGCTCGGCTGGCGGCTGGACCGCCGCATCGAGTTCCTCGAGGAAGAGAACGAAGATCTTCGCGAGCGAGCGCGTTGATGACCTTGAGGAGGATTTGGACAGGGGATACGCGCTAAAGAAAAAAGTCCGCCAAATGCTCGAATGGTCCCAAATGCTCGAATGGTTCCAAAAACCCGCGCAGCACTTTAAGCTATCATGACTTCCTCCAAGGCCTTCCGATGCGTGCAGGCATGGCTTCTGGAAAAGCCCGCCGCGTGGGTGGGCGAGGACGCGATGGCCCAGCGGCCTCCCACCAAGCGGAAGATGCGCTGCTTGAGGCCGAGCGCTCGCACCAGCGCAGCCGCATCGAGCTCTTCGAGCTGCAGCTGCTCGACGAGGAAGCGGAAGTCCGACGCCTTGAAAAAAGCCTCGTTGCGAGCTTGGACTTGGAGGAAATCATGAGAGAGGTGGGCGGCATCTCTGAAGCGGCTGTTCACGGCCAGGCCACGCGCGCCCAGCGGGCAGAGCTTGCCCTGCGCTGGTTTGAGGCTGAGCGGGGAGTGGGACGCGTGGGACGCGGTCAGAGATGACGGGGGCTCGCCCGAGCCCCCGCCCCTCATCAGTGAGTGGCAGTCGGCGCTGTCGGAGATGTAGAGTAGAAGAGGCGCAGAGAACAGACCTCTCTGTAGCCTCCGCTGGCGGGACTGCACCTCCAGCCCCCGCGGCTCGGGAGCTGAGTTTTCGGGGACTTTTCGGAGATCCCTGTGCACCACCTTTTCCGGCCACCCCTCCAAGCCAAACCTCGCCCCCATCTCCCCGCTCTCGGCGGAGGCTACCCTGTACACCTTTTCGCTCCAGGCTATCTCGTTGACCCTGTAGGAGCCCCTGCTTTCGATCGGCTTAACCCTGATCCTAACCATATCCCCGACCTTGATTTCCGGGCGGAGAAGCCCAAAAACCCACAAGAAATGGCGATCCGGGTGCCTGATGCCAACTATGGAAGATCTGGTGTCCACAACAAGTGCTTAAGGTGCAATACATACCGACAAAGGCCAGCTTTTTCTTACTGCTTTTGGGTTCGGTGCACACTTACGTGAAGACTGGTGGCCTCAAAGTGTTTCCTGTGGTGTGTTGCTATCAATCTGGGCGGTTCAAGGGCACTCCCTAATCCTTACCTTGAGTTACGAAAGGATTTGGTCCCTTTGGCGGTTGTACACTAGGGGATTATGGGAAAATCGGATTGGCCAAGACTCCATGTAGCCCAGATGCTCGGCATAAAGGGCACCTGACCTGGCGCCCAACATGCCATCCAACCACCAAGCTAAGCACTGCCCTTTTCGCAAAAAGGAGGTCCCAACATGAACCAAACGGTTTTTCCCAATCCCTTCTGGCAACCAAGACCCCAGACCCCAAGACCCTCATGTCTGTAAGAAAGGTTCCAACATGATATCGGTGTGCCATTTTTTGAGGATAGTTACTAATCATTACCTTCTTTGCGGGGAAACCAGCCGAGACACCAGCCATTAGTTTGGGGTTCCCTAAAAAACACGACCGCCATTTTGGGGTCCGATTCCTGAAAACGACCAGCCCAATATCCAACTTGGGGTCTTGGAGACTTCCCGTTGAAACCCGACGCTTCCAAGGCGCGGGCGGTCTCAGTCTATGCAGCTCTCCAAGTCCCACCGGGTGTGGCTGGAGGCCTCCGCGTCGTTGTCGGACAGTTTTGGAGGAGTTCGGCCGGGCGTTTGTGGAGCGTCAAATGGAGAAATGCGTCAAACCAAGGGGACTGGGACGTGAAGTTGCGATGTTTTCCCCTTTGGTTTCTCAAGCTACCCCTTTTGGGCGTTCGCTACACACCCAAATGTTTGGATGGCCCCGCAAGGATCGGCAGTGACGCAACTTCTGTTTTGGGTGGACAATTCGGCAATCGGTTTGAGGGAATTGGGGGTCCTTAGGGGTTGCAAGGAGGTTGAACAGAAGGGCAGGCGCTTTTGCCCTCTGCTTGCCCGCGTACTTCACGATGTGCAAGACCAAGCAAGCACTGTGTTTGTAACAAACCGCACTCCAAGGCGAACTTAATTTCAGGGACACTTTCAGTTGATGCAAGCCAAACGTGTTTGCATACTGTTTCAGCTTTGCTTGAAACATGTTTGTACATATATATATATATATACATACGTACATATTGGGTATGTATATTCTTACGTATACACATTTAAATGACTATTATATGATAGTGTATATATATATATATATGTTGCTCGAATGTGTGTGTGTGTGTATATATATATGGTACCCCCCCCCCCAGGGACCTACCTTTTTGAAGAAATCACTGGTATTTGCAGTGTGTTCTACCCTTTTTTGGGCTTTGAGGAGAGCCATGAAAAAGAAGCATTTCCATCGACGTTCTGGAAGCTTCAGGCTTGATTTAAACCGATTTAAATTTAAACCGATTTAAACCGATTCAACTAAATCGGGCATGGATTCAAGATTCAAGATTCAAGAATCCAGGCCAACATTTTTTCAGGGAGTCTTGAATCTTGAATCTTGAATCCATGCCCGATTTAAGTTAAATCGGTTTAAATCGGTTTAAATCGAGGCCTGGATTCAACATTCCCTGGAAAAGTTTGGCCTGGATTCTTGAATCTTGAATCTTGAGTTTAAATCGAGACCCACATTCAACATTGCACTTTGCGCGGCTGTACTTTGGCACAGTGTTGTGCAAGCATCCAAGTCCTGATTTTTCATTCAATCTGTTTCAATCTTGGCCCACATTCAACATTGTAGGCCAGTTTTTTTCTAGTGAATCTTGAACCTAGGCT